CGTGCGTGCGTGCGTGCGTGCGTGCGTGCGTGCGTGCGTGCGTGCGTTCGTGCGTGCGTGCGTGCTTGCGTGCGTGCGTGTGTGTGTGACAAATTATTTCTCAAGTAAAATTTGTTCGTTTTCAGATGTTAGGGAGTTCTTCAAAGTTATCTACTTACACATTGACCATTGGTAGGTCAATGTGCTTACATTTGTAATGTAATTATGTGCCAGATAATCACACCAACTACCTGGACTCATACTAAGGAATTCATTGGACTATGAATAACAGAGCAACGGAATTCACTCCGGGACAAGAATTCACTCAGAAATCGAATCTGGGATCTCATCCGTCCACAGTACGAACCTTTGCGCCGCCGTGCTCGTCAAAACTTACCTCTGTAGAATGGAGAGTTAGTTGGAGTAGCGTCTGGCACGGCATGGTGAGAAACGTTGGTTCGAATCCATCCTAACATTCAATAAAATTTAATTGTAATTCATAAAGTGACATTTCTAGTCAGCGGCTGGTAGCTGTAAAGGGCCCTCGCTGAGTGAAAAAAGCTTTCATACAATTCTCACAGATGGCGCTACGGCAAAAGTCGTTAAAAACCAAAAACAAAGATCTGCAACAAACACATGGAATAATTCGCCAGGTCCGTTGGTTCGTGCCATAGCTTAGGCATAGCCTCTGGCACGGTTTGCTGGCATTGGTTCAAATCCAACCAGATTGAAATGAATTTTCTTCTAAGTGTTCAATCTTTGTTTAATAATCATAACATCGAAACTTCACATGAACATTATTTGTATAATGGATATTTTATGTCTCGATACGTCGAGAACAGATTTGTTTCTAGTATTAAATTGGATATGTTTTGGACATAGTCAGTATTCAATGTCGTTTGGTCCAGACATGTAGTACCAAGAGCACGTCAAACTTTAGACTTAAATCCAACTTTATGCCGCTTACGATAAGAATGATCCAAAGCACAAAGTGTCAAGCTTGATGTGCTCTTGACTGTACTTTTAGCACTACAAGAGGTTTCAAGGATTGATACGATTCTTCATAAATTTTTTTAGGGATGCTTTTAGTGAAAATATCAAGATATTGATATATTTATCTAGACTTATTACTGTTCGTGAAAATCGATTCGATATAATATCGATTTATTTTTTCACTTGCCCATCCCTATTGCCTCATCGTCAAACAAATGTCAAGCTGACAGACAAGAGCTTTTCAATGTTGCCACTTAGTATTTTTATATATGAATACTATAATAGGACAATATAAAGAGACCCAAATTTCGAACGATCCCTTAAATAGTTTGTGGATAGTTTGAAATTGGAGTTCTTTATTTTTTTTCCATTCTATAGGCTCTTTAGCATAGCTCTGCCAACAAATGGACGACGGGTCAAATACAAAGTCCACGAAAAATATTATATACGTAGTGACAGGTAAAGGGTGTCATAATGTTTGCTTGCAACAATTAAAGATAAATATTTAGAGACCCAAAAATGAAACATATTCTAGTGAATGAAAAAAAAAAAGAAAAATTACTTGAATACAATAGTAATGAAATAACTTTTACTGTCAATATTAATTTATTTATATGTTCTAAGTGTTATGTAGAATTTTGTGAATAAAGAGTAGTGTTCATTATTATTCTAAAGAGCGGTGTAGATATTACAAAGTGAAATTAAAATCATTAGCATTCGTTGAACCTATAATTTACTCATCTAAAGAAATGGAGTCCGGCTTCAATTCCCGATTTGTCCAATTTAGGAAACGAACATTTCGCAGGTTTAGCATGAGGGGAAATAGACAAAACTAGCACGTCGAGATGTTTTTCTCTTTGCAACCGATTATGTATCTATTCCGAGCACGACGTAACTGGAAAAGAAACTCGCTACATTAGACAAAGTTTTTTCTACGTAGCGATAAGGGAGTTGCTGCAACTAAAATATTTCATTTTCATAGCGGTCACACTAAACCGGTAATAGTTAAAAAAAAAAAAGTTTAAAATACGCACAACCTTAGACTGCCTGCATTCATTTCCGCCGTGACGTTTTTTAGGGTTTATGGCGTGCATAAATTAGTAAAAATAAAAGGTAACACTAATTTTATCTTAGAGGATAGAAAAAAAATAAAGGAAAGGAGCTGCCCTAACTACACAATGAACGTGCATTATCTAAACAAAAACTGAACTACAAATGGCGGATTTCTTTAGTGTTGTACCATAAATAATCTATCGATAATTAATTATCGACATGCAAATGTCTGGTTTGAATCTTGAAACTGTTTTTTTTTTGTTTCCTTAGTTTACTGTAATCAAAATATGATTATAACGTTTAATTAAAGTAGATCAATATTCTATTTGGGAATATCTTGTTTTATTTCAGCGAATAATCGATCCTGATTATTCGCAGAAATAGAACAAGATGAGATTTTGTTAATTTATATTTTGTTGTTTTATAATTCTTTATTTTGTTGTAATTGTGGCAATTTTTTTGGGCTAAACCAGTATGCATTTTATATGTGGACGGACAAACATGTGAACACTATTGGCCGAGCGCCATTGACTTACAAATAAATGGACGACGGGTCTAATACAAAAACCACGAAAAAAATGTCCCAAGTCAACCTATTCGAAATTTAAATTGTAATGTCATCGCAGAATCGCGCTGTCAGTAGAACAAATGAAGACTAAAGCGGAGATAGCGCTCTGTATACGATTTTAGCGCCTTACAAGTGCGGACACTTTTTAGCGCGGACCCGACGTCCATATAATTGTAAGTCAATGCCGAGCGCCTTTGATTTATGATAAGCGCCGAACTCATCTAAAGAAATAGAGTCCGGAATCGATTCTCGATTAGTTCCAATTTAGGAAACGAACATTTCGCCGGTTTAGCATGAGGGGAAATAGGCAAAACTTAAGCGCGTAGAGATGTCTTTCTCTTCTAACTGATTATGTCTCAACTCCGAGCACGACGTAACAGGAACAGAAACTCTTTACCGTACTAAACGTCGATAGGACGTTTCAGGTGATTCGAATAATCCATCCAACGCCCATCTCTACTTTTCCGAAGCTTGCACAAAACATAACATCTCCGATAGATCGCCTCCAATCAAGATCTATCGATTTTGTAGCATCGGGTTTGCGACTCGACTTGCAAAGTGTACTCTAATATAGGTGCCTGTGATTAAAATCGACAAATTTTGCATTAAACTATTTAATAACAGTTAACATCCGTAACATAACAAAACAGTAAAACAATTAATACATTTTTAATATAATTTATTGTTACACTAAAGAACTCTATGGGTAAATTTATGGTATATTTTTTAATTCGATTACTCGTGACTTGTAGAGAAGTATCTCTACGTCTCTACTGCGAACCATGCGAGGCATGGCATGGCACAGCGTGACGTGAGTAGACGTGAACGATCGAATGACAGTTTTAAGATTTTAAAAAATTGTACTAATATTGTTATTCCAAACAAAATATTTTTACATTTTTTTATCCGTATACGAAATAAATACAACAACGCAAGTCTTAAAATTAAGTGCATATTAAAGTTTTGGACTTTATCAGTGACAATCACGTTTGTTTATTGGTTAACATCCGCCATTTTGTACTGTCGTTTGTTTAGTGACTGGTTCTCTTTCCAGTGATGCTATATATTTCACCTGAAAATATATATTGTGAATTCGCAAGTGGTGTACAATGTTTTTGCTAGAAACGTTGTTTTTAAATGTTCTAAATTAAATCGTGTGACTTGTCAATCTGACGTCGGTACATCACCTCCACCTATGTGCCGGATGTGTCCTACAATCGGTTAGGGCGATTTTACGTGCCACCTTGAGAGGTGTACGTGTCCCGATACCTATGCTGCCAAGATTATGAGTGGCAACGGGAATCAGGTGCCGTTGGCGCCGAATCAGCGCGGGCCCGGACCGTATCCTTTTTTTAATTTCACGTTTATCGTTGTTTTATCAATATATTTATGTAATAAATGCCACTTCAGCATCTGGTTGAACCGCATTTTGCGAATAGTTACGGTTTTAATGTTTTGTATTTTTGCTCCCATTAATATCGCATTATGTGCAATGTTATTCATGTAATTGATATACATAATCATGCCTAAACAAATTTAGTGAAAATACGTTTGTGCCACTTGATTTCTTGGACAATACATACTGTGAGTTTTAATGTGGCTCATTGCTCATAAGGTTTCTATTACTCAAAGTTGATAGCTACCAAAATAACCATATGTAACTGTATAACAAGTTATAATTATTGTAAAAATTACAACTAAAATGTATAGTATTTTATCATAGTTTTTTAATAACTGGTAGTTAAAAAAGAATATTTTACTTATTTGAACCAATATTAAGTAATGGAATGTAGTGTTTATAAGCCTTTTTTGACCTCATTGTAACTTCCAGGTAAGTAAGTGTAAACCTTGGGCTTAGTAATGTATGAGAGGCAAATTCTACAAACGAAATGGTAAATTATAAACATTGTTGTTTATAATTTATAATTTTGTTTGTTATATTACAAAATGTAATTTGAATATAATAAAATTTGCCCAATATGCTGTAACAGCAGAACCAGCTCAATCAATATAGTATACTGCAAAGCGAATGTCTTTCTGTAAGCGAATATTTATCTGGAGTTGTGCCTTTGTTTGAACTAGGTATGTGGTAACTGGTAGATTCTCCTAATATTTTAATGAATGTTAATAATGTTCACTACATAATGGAAGACCAATGTTTATTTTCCAAAAGTTATTTACAAATATTTAAAAAACATATTCAGGTAAATGTTCAGTAGTCACCATTATTTTATTTTTAAAATTCTCTTGCAAAAATACAAATTGCTTATTGCTAACTCATGGTAGATAAAATACATAATACCTATTATTAGGCACTGCCCCTAGAGATATATGTGGTAGGACTAAAATAGGTGAACTCAAAACATAACTATAATTATTGAAAATTTCAAATTTAACTTGTGATTAAAATGTTGAAGTACTAGATGAGTGTTATGTGATACTTCTTTTACATTTGTCTTATTGTGCAAATAATACAAAATGGATTCCCTTAATTGTAATTAAAAAACAACAGAGTTCCTCTTTGGTTAAATAGAATAAAATCATGTAGCAGTGTAATTAAGTTAGTTCAAGATAAGGCATATAATTTTTGTCTATCACAGGCAGTGAATAAATATTTAGACTTGTTTGATCTTATTCTGTAAGAATTTTGAATTAGTTCATTAAATATTGTTAAGAGTCTATACTGTAGTCTGTTCCAATCCATTTTGAACAAAAAGTAAACAAACAAGTATACCTCAAATGGCTTTGTATGGTTCCGCATAACAGTGAAAGTGTTAAGTCAATCACTTTGGAGAAAATATATAGTAATATTGAGGATATACACTGATTACTATGGTGTGAAAACATGATTTCAAAAAATTTTCACAATAGAAAAATATCACAATGTTATTTATCTGAAATTTCACAAGAAAACTGCTGTATTAAAATAGGTACTTTATGTATACTAATGATTTTTTTTTATATCAACTGAACTAAATAGGACACTTATACTGTATGATATACATTTTTCAATAATAATTTCAATAATAAAACCAGTGCCCTTGCGCTTGACCCAAGCAAAATGAACTGTATTAGTAGGGAAAAAAAGTCCATTCAAGCAGAAGTAGTATAGACTCTGAAGACCATAATTATTAAAACCACAATGAGGCCATATTGTTGCATGTACCATGATATTCTATTTTTGATTATTTTTAAAATATTAATTTATCTCTGCTTCAGAATACACAAATAGAATAGAATCAGTTTGAAAAATGGGAGAAATAAAAAATAGTGTGCTTTACATACGATGCGATAACTGAAGTATCTCTTGTCTACATAAATTTAAAAATATGAAATTAGTATGAGAAAAGTTGTTTCAAATCAATTTACTGACCGATTTTCGGCCAAGTTTTTGCCAATAGGTTATCTATAGGAATTATGCATTTCTAAGGGTCAGAACTTTGAACATTTTTTTCAATTATTTTGTATGAATGTTGCAAGTCTGTTATAATCTGTTATTTATATTGGCGAAGACATTTGAAAAAGTATAATTGTTAGTTATTGCTATTTCTCATTTTTCTGCTTTGTTATCTTTGTTTGTATAATTAGTTCTGATAAATGAGCCTAATATTATTATGCCCAAGATTCTTCACTTAATACATATGTTTCTTTCCTTTTTATAGCAATTAAAGTATTCTAATTTAATAGATTTTGCTGAAACTTCTAAGACATTTGAAATAATATTGTTTTCTGTATTAGGTAAGTTTAGTGTCAACAATATACTTTTGCCCAATTCACAGGTGCTGAGAAAATATAATGTAGTTTGCCGAGGCTATGGTATGTGTGACAGAAAAGAAACACATAGGTTCTCACCATGTGTTTGTTTAATAACAATTTCTAGAATTTGTTAATTTAGTGTATAATGGCAATTTAAATATTCTTCTCTTGTGTCCCAAACAGCTGTCCCTATTTGCTCACCCAATGTATAGGGATTTCCAGCCCGATAAGACTAGGGTACCGTGAGCGTTCCAGCTGAATACTCCTCCAGTGATACGCCTTTTAGGGTGTCTGATGGTCCCGGGACCATCAGACACCCTAAGAGCCCGGGCTCTGGGTACGGACATGTTAGGACATTGTAGTTAACTGTAGTTGGGATGGACTCCTTCGTTTGCCCTGGTGACGTGGGGCCAGGGCGTCTATCCTGCACGCTATTTGCACAGTTAACGCGTCTTAATAGCGGACTAGACGAAGGCCAAATGCGAAAAGATGCACGAGTCACGCGAGTTGTTCTTAAGTTGGAGCTGCGAGTGACATCTCCGGTACTAGTCCGGAGAACTAGTAGAGAATAAGTTACATATCCTCCAGTCCTTTCAGCCGCGTAGGAGTTTTAGAATTGCAGAGACGCTTTGGGTAGTCAGCATACCGACAGCAACCAAAGTGAAAATTTAGTAGTTGAGTTCAGCATCAACTGCTTAGTGGTGGCAACTGCTATTTGTGCAATAAGGGAGCCAACAGCTCCGGTACGGACCATACCGAGACTGTTGTTCGTACACCTGGGGGTGTTCACCCAAGGCAAGTTTATGAAAATCGGATAAAGCCTGTGTCTGACCTGGGGGTCAGGCTTGCTTGCACAGGTAATAGTGCTCTTCCCGTATAACCAAAGGTTAATAAGTAGGGGCACTATAAACAAAACTTAAGTAGAAGATATGGGACTGTCCCAAAACAGAAATTTTGTCACATTTAAGCTGGTGAATTGGAATTAAAGCTGATGAGTATTTTTAGTTTTTTTTTTTATTATTGTTTTTAGATATATTTTGATTTCACTAATCAACTAAATATCGACTTAACGAACAAAAAATCAATGGCAGACCGTATTAATCACAAACATGGACAGTTTCTTGACATTGGCATTTAAGTATATTATAAATTAAAAAAATACTGCAAAGTACATATAATAAAACATTACTCGCTATCATTATCTCTATCATCACCCCCACGTAGTACGTCCCACTGTGAGCACGGCTCTCTTCAAGCGAGGGTTTAGGCCATAGACCGCACTGGAGATATCACACGTTTCACGCTTCTTCCACATGCAGGTATCATCACGATGATTTCTTTCGCCGGAATGCTCATGGTAAATTTCAAATTAAATTTCGCACATAAATTCCGCAAAACACTAGGTGCAAGCCCGAATTCAAACCCTCGGCTTCTGCTTGGGAGGGCGGTAGATCGAACCATTACGCTACTACACTTCAAGTATTAATTAGTATACAGTTTTAAATTAAAAAAAAGAAGAGAATTGGCAAACGCAATCCTTATACCGACCTGTTTAATTACACAAACTGCTAACGTAAATGTAAATGTAGTTTTAATTATTTTTGTTAAAATAATGGTACTCTTATAATAATAATAGATTAATAAAAATAGTAATAATAATAATATTACATACGGCATGTAATAATTTAATGTTAGAAATTGTAATTCAATTAAGACTTAACAATGTGACAGTTTCATAAAAATGTGAACTGTTGGGAAACCATTTGTTTTAACCATTGTTTGAACGTTAATGTAAAAATGTTTAATGTGACTAGTTTAAAAGAAGTTCTGTCTTTCCAAGTAAACCATTGTGGTTACCAAAAATATTAATCGGAAAAACGCCAAGTTCAATGTGAATTATTTCTCATTTTACTGCATCAAAAACGGAATGGGGATCTAGGTATCATAATCAATAAAATAAAAATATTGCTGGTCTACCACTAACATTCAATTTGGCAAGTATCCTCAATTTATCAGTGTATTTTTAATAAGATATAATTACAACACGAAACAACCTCATAGTGTCGCAGTGGAACTTTATGACTAATGTTTTATATCAGTTAGTGAACTTTGGCCAAACAATACAAAACAAACAGAGGATAATAATTATAGGACAAGGAATTTTATGAATTCGAATTATAGTTGTGTTACAAAATTTTGGTATATGGAAGTTAATTTATTAAGTAACTCAACGAAACTACCCGGCTACCCGGTTGTCTATCTCTGCTACTACTAAACTCGTATATTTATTAGGTACCTACGTCAGCTTATGTAATCGGTGAAGTAATTTCAAGTCCTGTACCCACGTGCTTCTCTGTCATCCATAAAGAGTTTAGAAGTTTTGTCGCACCCGAATTTGTAATCCTAATTTAAACAAATCGATTTTTAAATGTTCTCGATACGAATCTTCGATAACCGCGCTGCCGTATATTTCTCAGATCTGGCAACTCCGATTCACCCTTGAGTTAAAATCAACCCCACTGTCACTTACAGACATATTGTGTTCATAGTATCACTTGAAGATACATTTTCTTCATTCATTGCTGTCAACCGATTTGCGCTTGCTTTTGGACTCGATTCTGCACGGCAATGTATAGCGCGCGAAAAACTTTTCCCGCCGGTTTATTTGGTATTAGGTGCGAGGGTGTAACTGGGGAACGCCCCGAATCTATAGTAGACACGAACACTGTACGTTTGTCTCTTTCGTGCACTCGCCCCTAGTTCTATAAACCGAAATGAAGTGTTTAGCATGGTGAACCGTCTGCGGTCAATTTTCCGAAAATTTCTCTTGATTATTATTTCTGACGTTAGTTTATATAAATGAAATATATTATTGGTTGTGTGAACTTTGTGATAGTAGTGGGCGTCAACGTGAAAGTGTCGCGGTGGCATTAATTTCAGCACGAGCGTACAGCTATGTAGCGCGCCGTTTCCTTATCGATTTTCTCTATGCTGCATTAAATTACTATTTAAAATTGTGTGTGTGCGGAGTGGACTGCATATATTTTAGCAACATGGTTTACACTCACTCGTTTTGCAAACAAATCTCGAATTGAGAACGGTATTTCACTAATTAATAATATCCGCGTTATTAATGATGGATGTTATCAATTTCTTAAATACCTAACATCTACAAATACCATTAAAGAGTTTTTACATAAGAAATTTTCAAATGTATTCTGGTATGAGATGATAACATAGAAGTTGGTACTCGCTGCATATATATTATCTCGATGATCTTATCACCATCTTTTTGGGAATGGTTCAATATATGGTTAATACATTTTTTGAAAGATTTGTATCATGAGATTAAGATGGTGGCTCTAAGGGGAACGAGTAATTCAATAAATTCTTACTCACATGGAAATCAGCATCAACAAACTGCGATTGATGTCGCACAAAGTTTACAAACAACATTGAACATGCCCCATTCGGCGGTGGCGCAGCACATGAATGCAAATCAAATCAATTTTCAGCCCCTGAATAATGTTTCTGTACAGTTCAGACCCCAACATAACAATACGAATTCTCTGAAACATGAGCACACTAACTCTCGATATTCCAATACGAGCTGCGTGCTGCCTTCGCATCATTATAGACTTTTAACTCAATCCAGTAAGTCAGCACTTTTATAGATAACATGTAGACGACTTTTTATTTTGTTGCCTTCTTAAAGATTGACAGTCTGCTTTGTTATGCTTTCACAGCCCTAAATTGCCTGCCTAGATTGTGTTTTATGTGCTATTGTTGCGATGGTGATAAACGTACGAGTATAAATCCGTGTAGGTCTAACACAACTGTGTGGGATAACAGTCCTGCTATACTTGTAATAAGTTCATGGTGTTTCGTTTGTAACTTTGTTTAGTGTTTATATGTATTCCAAATAAAATTTTATAGTAGTTTCCTTAGCGCGAAACAGATATCCAAGGGCGTCAACACCACACAGTAAGTTGAAGACTTGAAGATCGCGTGAGCCTTTGGCGCAGTATCATTGATTACATAACAACAGTACATGCATTATTCGTAGACAGCAATTCATATTGAGGTACATTTTCAGGAGCAGAATGCTACCACCCAGCAGGCGCCACTGGCCCGGCCTATATGCCAAGCACTGCCGGCGGCGCACAGTCCTCGGCGCAAGCGGCGTTACGAGTACCACAGACGCCGCAGCCGTCGGCGCCGCCGGCACCTCAACAGGACATGTCGAAATCTACCATGGTTAGTTAGCATATGAATGTAGCGTAGAATTATAATGTTACGGCATCATTATTTTTGAATATTTAAAACAATTTTCTTAGAATTAGATTTATGTGTTGGGTGGCAATTGCAGGCTGGTCATAACTACGTGACGGCGCCGAACCAGACTCAACAAACGCGCTCGCAGTATCCCAACTTCCCATATAGAGCGAATCAACATGGGACTCGGCCAAATACCCATCCTAGGTAAATATTATTTCCATGCCATGGGACACCAAAGCAGACACCTTCTACCACTGACTTTGAGGCTGTAGTGTGTATAGGATATGGTAGTTGGTGGGTCTATGGTGTTTTCCTGTTTCTCAGTTTCGTCGAAGCCCTTTCGTCAACTTGTCCGACGGCTATCCTGGACGTCAGTTTATGTCAGTAGATTGTCAAGGGCAGGATTTTTCCACGTTTCGTATTCTGCTAATAGTTAAGAGAAATCGCTTGTCAGTGGCTATGCATCGAATTAGTAATCAACTGTCATTGCAATTTTTTGGTATTCTCTTCAATGGCATGTCGATTGCGTAGTCTACTAATTATTTGACGTTTTTCGATTAGTTTTTACTTACGATTTAAATGCTGATATCGATTATCCATAGTTTTATTTTATGAAAATTACATTACACAAATCTAAATTTGAATTGAACGAGATAAAAATTAAGACTTGCATAGTAATTTCCATGATAGTTTTAATGGGGCAACATCGATCGTTAGTGATTGAATGAATTAATGCCATCACTGCCATGCCACTGACACTATATTGAGACTCAACTGCCATGCAATGGCAGAGAATCGAGAGAAACTAGATTTTGGCAGAATAACAAATATTATAATTTTTTAAACCTAAATTTAAAGAGCTTCACCGTGTGAGAAGATGTACCAGAATCTGACGGCATCGGTTGCCCACAACAATTGAAATTTGTTGTGGGCAACATCAATATAGTAGGAAAAATGTACTAGATACTTCATATATATTTTATTTGATCAGAATTTATTTATCCTCGAACATGTTTTAAGATCTGTATGAATCTGTGTGAGAAAGGTCAATTTCTGACATATTTTAAGATGAAACAAAATTATGTCAATTACATTGTAGGTGATAGATTTACTTATGTTTGCAGTTAAAAGTAACTTGCATTTACGCAATTTATCTTTTTTTTTTACCAATCATTGCCTGCACACTACGAGCCTTGCCGACCAGCATCAGTACCAACAAAAATTATATGCCAAATATATTGATTCGGCTTCGTTAAAATTTCAAAGATCAAGGTTATTTACTCCTACTGATCGGCAATATTTGAGACCCGCTGCTAAATCATGAATTGTGACTTAATGCACCTAGTTCTTCGCTGATTTTGCGATAAACATTATTGCAATGTTTTTTGCTTGAGATTGAAGAGCATTCTCAGTAATTATTGCTACTAAATGGTCATTTTCAAGTGAAAAAAGTTTAGCAGACAGCCATTTGACACAAATAATATTTTGAATTAACATGTGACAAGATTCTGGTACACCTATAGTAACGTCGCTCCGTAATGCTACTTAATTTATACCTACATCGAACCCAGATTCAGGGTCGTATTCCAGAACTCTACTCAATGCTCAAGTCAGGACTTGAGTAGACTTGAGTATGATTTCAAGCACTGGAAATACGACCCTAATTGCAAGGACACAATGCACAGTATTCCGTTCATGTACGGAGTTTCCGCAGGTGACGTCACGTATGACGTGTGAGATCAACAGTAATTTTATTAACGTTCGAAACGTCTATACCACTTAATAAACTTCTTCATTTACCGATAGCATTGTAACATAATTGTTCAAAAGATCAACAGATTATTTTTTCAATGAACAAATACGTGAATAATCTATGATATAAGCAATTAATTTATCAGCTGTGTGTATCGGTGGAAAATATTTTATTTCTTACAAAAACAATGAACACAAATATACAGCATACTGTTCAAAAATAACACAGCGAAATAAATATACAAGTAAAAACGTATTTGTATAATAATATATCATTCTACTGTCTCCTTGTGGTAAGACCTAACAAGTACTTAATAGTAACTGTCACTTACTTTATAATGTCATGGTCATGGGCTACTTTATCCCTTATCTAGGAAAACCTGTAGTTTAAGGAACTACGACATCTTATATTGCGAGAAAGAATCATACGTTTCTAGGCTTCTTATTTTTTTGCTCATTCATTCCATTATTGTCTTGTGCACGCTCCACCTTTTTGTATTTGTTGATAATTAGGTAATGCCCGCGTTGATTAGCTAATCTGTGGATTTAGACAAGTAACCACCTTAAGTTTTCAGAACAATTTGCGACAAAAAGTATTTGGGATTATTGTTCCATACAATGATCTTATTTGTTCCATGGTATTCGTTTTTAAAATAAAATGCCACTAAGTATCTTTAAAACCCTTTAAGATGGTATTTGTCGTGTTGTCACAAAAAAGTATCGTAAATTTATAATTAGATTTCGGTGTATATCTAATTGTCATGGGTATAACTACTATCCCGCTCTATTTTAATATTGTCATAGTTGTACAACATAGTTGCGCGCATCTATATCCTTAGATGAAATTAATTTGGTAACATGTATAGTTTTGTGGATTATAATTAATGATAGCTACTTTTGTTTGGAAACATGGATTTGGGAACAAAATCGATTTTTTGTGCGAAAAAATTTCTAGTGAAAGTCATTGCGCGCACATTACGTTATGACGTTGTTAAGCTCAATCAAATAAAAAATGTATACTTGCGCAAATTAAACAAGTTTACGGCACATTAGTACTTTATAAGGAACTAACACTATGAGCTAATTAATCCAAAAATTTCTATAAAAACAAAACTGCGTTAAACTACAATTAGAAATCGAAAGGAAATGGATACTAAGTAAAAGCATGAAGTTCTATTCTTTTTATTAATTTTGGAATTTAAAAGAGGTAACATTTTCATAGCCTGAACGTAGTTTTACAAAATAGTTTTTCAGTTTGACAGCAGGATCGAAAGTCACAGTTAAACAATATGTAATCACAATCAAAATCTAATCACAACATAATGTAATCTAGACATGCGGTAGCGTAAAGCAACTTACAGAAAAATAGTACAACGCTCTGTGTATATTATTACACTTACCTTTTCGAGTTGTTTTCCACTGCGAATCGTTTAAAATCTATTAGAGTTGCATGCTGGTAATTCTATTTGTGCAATAAGGCCTTTTCTATTAAAGTCCAGAATTCCAAATTATATAAAACAGCTTAAAATACCATATTACATATTAGTAACATCATGAACGAGAATTTTTATTCCATGACTTTTTATAAAAGTAACAAGTTTGCCAAATATACATTTTTAAGTTTTTGTTAACATAGTACTATCTGACACTTTTTAGATCTGTATTGGGTAGTAAAGTGGTAGTAAATTGAATTGTGCAAGCGTAACACCAAGCTCAGATTTGTACGGTTTGCCGAATCGTTTTTGTGAATAGTTTCTAGTGGCGAATACGAAACATATGGGTGTATTAACTGTATACAGTAAAATCGATTCGTTTATTTTCAATCACTCGGTCCGGTTTTTCGTACCCGCGGGGCAACGTCGTCTTCTATCTTCCACAAAATTCGTATTATGAGCTTTGCAATTGAACGTTCGGTTCTGCCCGAAACGGTCCTACAGTATCGGAAAACTACCTCAGAAAACGCATAAATGTGAACGCACATTCGTTTTTTTTAACCTATACGGTAAACGGAATAAGAAAACGTACATGTGGGAACTAAGGATAAGCGTCCTTCCCGACGATCTTTTTTGTTATCGCACAGAGTTAGTAGCACCGTATAGAGTGATCTATTTAAATATATTTATTTTTGTATGAAAATAAAACTTGATGAATTATTAAAACTCATGTGGAAAAAGTTGTTGTTCGTGCTGTTAGTAATATAGGTCTGCGACGTTGTTAGTATTTAACAAATCCTATGTTGTAGTACTGAATATAGCAAATTTGTGATCACAGTTGACATAACTTAAATTATGAATAAAAAGATCGTACATTCAGAAAAAAATTTCTCGATCCGGCCGGATTCGAACCGACGCCAGCGTACCGTGTACCAGCGTACAGCGTACCAGCATACCGTGCCAGACGCTATACCAACTAAACCACGGAACGAACCAGCGGACCTCACGAATTTTTTTATGTGCTAGCGTCCTATCTTTATATTTTGGTTTTTCAACGACTTTTTAGCCGTAGCGCCATCTATGAGAAATCCATGATATTTCCTCATTAATAATTATAACAAACTAGTGGAGTAATTTCACACAAAAATGATTGAATATCAATTCAATAAAATTTTTAATAAGAACTTAAATTTTACCTAAATTAAAATCATTGAGCATGTACAAAAGAATTATCAGAAAACAGATGAGTCGAAAAGTATCGAAAATGAGAACCCAATAATTTCAATTTTATATTTTGTTCGGTGACGTGATGAAATTACAGGGACGTATGGGACAGTGCCCCTGACATTTTTCCAATATAAAGCTGAGTGAAGTTGCAACTGTGCTATAGGCAACTTTAAAGCTCGGAGTGGCGTTGGAACTGTGCTATAGTGTACTATATAAGTCACTAACTACGCGCACGACTCGTCCGTTCCGCCGTTTGTATCATAAAAAAGAAATTAAATATATTACGCGTACAGAATTAAAGAAAAAAAATAAAAAGATGTCAATACATTGTAACTGGTGTTGTCCCTCGCTTATATTTAAATTCCTGCATAGATGAGCCGATACACTTGTATCACATACACTCGTAACGTACCCTGGTAAATATATACATGTATTATAAGCCTTTATGCTACTCGATGTCCGCAATTAATGACCGCTCTTAAAAATGTCCATTTTGTTTAGTAATCTTTTATCGTCGTAACCGTATCAAAACCTTTCGTAGATAATTTTAATAACACATACGCAGGCGTATGAGTTGACGTCATACCACATTCTTTCCTCTGATTCGTACGTAGGTAATTTTCTCTGATTCGTGCGCAGGTAATTCCATGCATCCATTTGTTCATTGTGTTGCTTTGTGAACAAGGTGCTTGGTAGTATTTATCAATATTTCAATTATTCGATACCGGAATGTTGCATGAAAATGTCGAGATTATTAATTATTAACAATATGCACCATGGGCGAATGTAATATTTAAACACTATTTTATTTTAAATTATCCACATTGACAACTACCAAAAGCAATGACGTGTATTTTACTTTTCCGTGACGTACTTATATTTTCGATAACATTGCGACGATCTTTACCTCTACACCGTAACAAATCATGTTTCCACGGGCGCACGTTTTGGCTTATACAACGTTATAACTTATAACTGGCAATTCGCTACTCTTTGATTTGACGGACATGGATGGCCTAAGCATCTTCACATAACCGTAAACCTTTTCCTTAGGTTACTATACACACAATCATCAAATTAACAGTAAAATTATCTAAGTTATAAAACACCTATGTTGGTGTTAATAAACTTCTTGAACCTAATCAGTAATTGAACCGAAATGCGTGATTTCCTTTCCTTTTTTGTCATTGATAGCGGGTTATTTAATATAACTTGTACACTGAACTGCTACATTAGAATTGATTGTACATTCTCCAAAACGTCAGCCGGCGTGGCAAAGGTTATTATTGTGCATAACATCAAAATAATTTCATACCGCTTAATAGACCCATTCGAAGCGATAATGATAATTGATTAACAAAATATGTCGACATTGAGTACTATTCCATTTGCATATTTAACCCTAATGATAATAAAATATAGTTTACTACTTTAAGGTAATGTTTGACGAATTCGTATAATAGGTAATAATAATTGGTAATGTTACGTAGACGTATGTAACTTATGTAAGACATTTTATTTTGCAGACAACAGCAGCCATACCTCCCGGGAGCGGCCGCTACCGCCACAGGACCTGTCATGTACCACCATCCCACATACGTGCTTCCTTCACACATGGGAATACCACCAACCTATCAACAACCACGATCTAGTGCACAAGGGTAAGTTGAACTGGTCTTGTGAACTAGTGTAATATGGGAAAATAAAATTACCTTTTTGATGACAGTTAAAGCAGCATAACTTCACGGATTGCTATCGTAAGAAAAAAGTAGCAAATAAATGATAATTTTCTGTTTAATAATTTCTACGTTTAATACGTGTATGCACTTTTAGTACTTATTACGTTATGACTAGCGTAAAGGGAAAGACGTTATGTTATATTATCATCATAGAAAATCGTAGTGGAAACCTGGTGGGCTACCTTATGCGACGCGAGTTTTTAAAACTTAATTGAATGATAGGAATGAAATTGATATAGGCGAAGATCAAGATAGTATAAAAGGGAAGGTATACGTGGCATCGTCGTACAAGGCAATCCAAGAAGAAGGCTATAGCTTTAATATAGAAGAAAACATTCTACGCATTTTGTTAAGAGAACGAACAATAAAAGACGTTGTTATCTTATGGAGAAACAGCTGAAAGGATTGGCATCGTTAGTTTGGTTGCGTAAATACGAGAGTGCTACATAATAATCAATATCTGTCATACTATATTACGTGCGAATATTTATAACCAAAAGTATTACAATCAAATCCAAACAATTATTATATTGTGATAATTCCTATATTATGTTTTATTTAACAATGAAATATATCTGCATAAACTGTTGCAGGTACTATCAATACATACCATCGTACTTACCAGGATACGCCACCCCCAACCACACTACTCCATGTAAGTGATTTTTAAATATGTACTAACAGCTTGTTTGGTTAGAGTGAATTTTAACATGTGTGATTTGTACCCATAGAATAAAACTACAAACATAGTTAAAATTTTCTAGTAGACCTTCTAATCTAAATATGTATTAAAGAAGGATGGCGAAAGCTGACCCAAAATCAACGAAGTGCCGTTCATGGACTTTGCTAGTATAATTTTACGTTTTAGTTTATGCCTAGTTATTAATATATTTTTACAAACCGGGAATAAAGTAATTGTAAAACAATGTATTTTAGAATAGATGCAAGAATACTACGCAATTAATTCAGTTCGACCATAGATTAGGTAACGTTCTTGTACGTACGTTTCGTTTTAAGCATTATTGAACGTTTACTTACCTAAAGTATTGGTTATTTTATAGTACACACCTATACAATACCTAAACAAATAATGAATTAAACAATAATGATATAATGTAAAAAATAAAACACAATGTGTAAAAAATATTTAGACAATATTTAAATGAGCGATTCGAAAGTTAGCAAAGGAACGTTTTGAAAAGAGAGGCCTCTTTCCAATGTCAATGTCACTTTGAGATTGAGAACAGTGTGACCATTTGTGGCTGATTTCTGCTATTTGGGCAGATTTAATTTTATTCATTTTCATTGCGACAGAACATGTTAACGTTGTATTAAATGTAGTAGAGTTTGGCATATTTATCAATATTCAGTAAGTCTTTATTATTTGTAGGAACAAACTGGAAACTTGTTTTTTTCAGTTACTACGAATGAACATCTGAAGCGAAATACAGGATAATGTTATAAACGTAATGGGCTCTGGTGACCTGTAACGTACAGGCATTTTTATGCCTATCTCAGGCGCCAGTCTCTCGCAAATAAGGTTTAATTTAGAAACTCATTAGTCAGTAAGCATTTATACAATTTACCTCATATGTTGAGAGAAAATATATAAAAATTATTATAACCTATATCAAGTTTATAGTATTGATAGGTCTCTTTAATGCACGTCGTCAAAAACACCGGGTCACAAAATACACGGGATGTCGCCATCCTTATTTAACAAGCATGTAGTTGACTAATTAAAATGTTGATTCAAACATTGTGAACACAGAATTAAGACTTATCATTCATTATGTTTAAGTTATGATGTCTTATTTGCTGTTACCGCAAGTACTAGTGTTATTTATGATTACATGTATCTGGTTGATGTACCATATATGCAAGTGTTAGTAATATAACTATTTATTTCAATAACAGATTTTTATACTTCAAACAACCAACAAATTCCTACGCCAAACTTACCTGCGAACACACCTGGTGCTCGGAGCAACCCTACCACGTTGGTGGGACCGCAGGGCACTCCTGCGACGCCCACCGCTCCCACAGCTTCGATACCTCCCCCTCAGGCCTCTACCCACATGCATCAAACAATGCCTGGTACGTAGTTATCTTTTATAATTGTGGGACCTTTCAACTTGGCTTCTTGAATGGTGTTCACGCCAAACACATACGCTGATTCATCATAATCATCATTCATCATGATCATAAACGTGATAGGAAATTAAATTATTTTTCTGGATTTAATTCGCACACACATCGCAAGTGTCAGGGATCAGGCACTTTTGCGCTAATTACGGAAAATCAGGTTTTTTTTATTTTTTTTTAACAGCAATAGATTTATTTGGTCAATTTTATTTTCAAATTCAAATTATAAACGGACCAATAACAAAATTCCATTGGTGTTAAAAAAAAAATATTAGACCTGATTTTCAGTAATGTCCCTGTCTGTTTTTTTATGATGGAGTAACATTACAGTCCATTGCTGCAGCAAATACTCGATAAATATTATATCGACTATCGACTGCATGTTGTTTACGCTTATGAAATAAATAGCCGAACTTTTTTCATTTGTTTCATCGTACGTCCAACTGCACCTTTGTCCTGCAATTGGACGAATAATGATTCATTTAAATTGTTATTTTTTTAAATAATTCATACATACACTAAATTTAAAAGTATGTCTATTAATAATACAAATACGTGACATTTTTAAACTTTTTATTTTAAATTAATATATGTAATCAAATCCGCCTGTTGTTAATAAAATGTGTATGACTAAAAATTGATGTTGATAATAATAGACCAACTGTCAAAATAAGAGTAAAGAAACGCAATCAGTAACATTCACAATTCAGATATTTTTGATCAAATTTTACCTACTTTCGCAATCTATCGACGAAACTATCGACAACAACTACATGACTATTTAAAAAAATAGAGTAGAGACAGTTGATGTGTGTATTTGTGTTTTTTACACTTGAAAACGTCACATTTAATACTGCTCGTTGACTACGCTAACTTCCCTGAGAAGAACGAGCAAGAAACTCTAGAGATTACTCTTTTCAAATAAACTTAAATGTTATGGAATACACTTTGAATTAAATTTGTGTGGAATTTAGAGCCATGTCATCTTTCCATACATCTTTATCTAACACATAGTCTTCAATTTTGTAATATGACTTTTCAACCAAAATATTTTTTTACTTCGCTGGTATTTGTACTAAGTAACATGTTGTGAACGGCCATCTGCTATGTTTAATTACTTGGCACAATTTTCAAAAATTCCTTGTTCATTTAGGAATTTTTATATAAAGTATATGGTAGTGCTACAATAACCCACACTGTAGCTTACATGTCTGGGCGGCGCTCTTGAAGGGCCGATTCAAGAAAATGTCAACAGTTTTTCTACGCATTTCTTACGGGGGTGGCCCTTTATACAACTCAAAGCACTTACTGAGATTCTGTATGCAGGTCTCTCATCAACGTTATTGACTCTATTATACAATTTACGTTTGAAATGTCATCGTTTATGTGTGTATATATATGTATGTATATATTATATGTATGTCTATTTGAATAAAATGTGTAACGTAAAATCTGCTATATTGTATTTGTACAGGCATACGTCCAAGTCAGCCAAAACGTCTAAGTCATAGACTTGCAATTATAGACCCTGTTACACGTAAGTAAAAATATTTTCTCGATTTGTGTTTTAATGTGTTAGATGTCTGTTAAAATATTTGTTTTTTTTTGCAGAACAAGACATTTTCTCTGACTTATATACTAACGATAGTCAATATTTAAGTGGTGACTCAAGTGAAAGACAGACACCACAACCTGTAAGTATCTCTTTAGCCCTGGAACACAGTTAATATAATAAATATCGTACATGTTTATTTTCTACTATAATTATTATTGCTTTGATCAGGAGCCGACACACAGTATCGCCGAGGAATTTACGAGAAGGGTTAATGAAGTCGCGAATCAGTCATCCACTAGTGAAAGTGTTTCAAAATCGAACTATGTGACAAAGAACGAATTGTTGCCACCTACGACATGCGGTATTCAACCTCAGTCAAATGCAATAACTTCTATAAATAATAATGTAGTAAAGTCTGACATATTAACTATAAATGAAAGTAAAAATATAGGACCTGATGTTGCTGTAGAACCTAATGAAACACCAGTAGTGTCTGCAATATCGGATAGTCCTGTTATAGTGCCTAAAATGGCTATGAATGTTAAACAACTTCAAAAGAGTAGTGAACAGAATATTAGTCAGTCAGTTGTAGACAAAAACCTACCGTCTAATAAACTACAAAAACAAACTAAAAGTAAACCAGTTGTGCCTCATATTGAAGACTTAGAAAAGCCCTCAGAGGTTGTGACAGCCTCTATTGGAAACATTGCCAATGTAAGTGCGGTACCTGCGGCTACAAGCGCACCCTCCGCCGCGCTCGCGTCGTTGCCAGCGCCTACTGCTGCACCTGCGCCTGCACCAGTGCCTGCGTCTACGCCGGCCCTCGTGCCCGCGCCCGCGTTCGTGCCTACGCCTACGCCCGAGGCGGCGCCTGTGCCTTCATCCGGGCTTGCGTCCGCACCCGCCGTTATGCCCGTTCCTGCGTTGGCGTCTGCCGCCAACCCTGTCCAATCTGCGCCTGCGCCTCAGCCTCAAAGGATACCCAGGGAACGAGTTAAATCGGAAGAAAAGGACAAAGATAAAAATAAGGACAAAGAAATATGTCCAGAAAAGGAGTCTGCGCCGGTTTCTAATAAACCAAACGGCCCAACTCCTTCCAACGGTGAGTACAACTTTTAGTTTGATGCCAGTATGTTTATTTCAATCTAAAGCACGTTTATTTGGGCATCTTTCAACGCTTAATGTTTTTTTTTTTGCCCCAATATTACTGTCGCAATAATTATTAATATGGTTGAAAAAAACATCCTGCTTCAAACACGTATATTGTTCTTTTAAAAAATATACCTCAGACCCGGTCGATAAAATGTGAACATTTATTTTAGTTTCAAAAAGTTCCGTTTATTTTGTTTTATTTTTTATTTCTAAAAATTACACATTTAGTTTAATAAGGCCGCCCGTTCATAGCAGAGCACAGAGTGCAGGGCAGCATGAACTAAAAGAAACGTTCACAGCAATCTTAAATTACATTACATTTTTGTATTCTCCGTTTTATTTTACTTGGTTAACTAGGTGTCTTACATTATTGACCACTGAATAGTAAAAAGGAGGGAGAGGGTCGGGTTCATCCCGGTTTTTTTTTATGGAAATCCACTAGTCATTTATCTTTGCAAGACCTTGGACATTGATGTCATGGTTATGCCTCGGTATCACTCGGAAAATGTCGATGGAAAACTTGAATATTGGATATACACTTGACAGCAAGGAACAATTTGTTTAAACATAATTTAGTAATTTACTGTAATTTGTAGTAGAAATAAATACGACATTATTCAAACTTAAAAAATATTTATTTTAAAAGCGATATGTTGTACAAAACGATAGTATCACATCAATATTCTGAAAGTCCTCACAATCCAGTATTTAAAACTTTACGCTGCACATTGTTTTCGAACATACTTTTATATTTCTTGTTAATATGAGAAAATATCAATTAAAATAAGAATTTACGCGTTTGAAGCGGCTAAATTACAAACTAGAAAAGACGATCGTTAACATAAATAAAGTAGCCGTATTTACGTCGTGATCGATAATTAACTAATTATTATTTTATTACGAACAAACTGAAATGATGGCATTTTAACAAAAAGCTATAGAATTGACCATATGGTAAAACGTAGGGAATATTCCATATACATAAAATTTTCGTTGTAAATATTAAATGTATATCTTACAAAAATTCGAAAAATCATCGTCTTCTGTTCAATCGATTTAAATTCTCAATATATCAAGTGCTTTGTAATCGGACAGTATACAGGAATTTAATCAATTAGCTTGTTTTAAACTATAACGTAGTAGTACGCAGTCTACGTGTAATAACTAACCAGTCATCAGATTTTAAAGAGTTAATCGTTGAAAAGTATAAACGTTTTCTTAGTATGAATATATCCATCTCGTCATCAATGCGCATATTTTGTTTATTGTTTATTTTCTAAACTAAACATTAAAATACTACTACTATATAGATATAGGTTGTCACTTGTTTATTTTTTAAATGGCTAAAGTATTTAAATACATAAGTACCTTTAATAAATATATAATAACTCGCACACACTCATACTATAGAAACACAACTACAATATTATTTTTCTGAGAATAATGTGTAGCAAATACTTAATAGGATATAATAATAATTTGTCGCTTGTAATCAAATTTCAGTAAATAATACGCATATTCAAATATAACCAGTTCGATTTGTAGAAGAAAATTTAGTTTAGCTAAATGAACTCCCTCAATTTCGATCACTGGTAATAATAAATCCTAACGCATAGTAATATAGACATGCGAATAATTAAGTCTTCGCTTTCTTTTATTAAAATTTAATAACTTTCAATGCGATAAATAAATGTATTATTGTATAGATATAGATATATTTTTCTTCCGGCAATCAAGCACACGGCCCGGTAATTATAGAATACGGCATGTTTCTACCAATAGAGGAGCTCTTTGAGAAAAGGTAACAGGAGCAAGGATTTCCGACGCAATTTATTCATTTATTTGATACACAAAGCAGTTTACTTTCAATGGTACTCCAATAAATGAAATCTAAATTGCGAAATGCGATAGGTATCTGTTAACATCGGATTCTTGTATATACGCTTCATTACTAAACCTCAAAAAGCATTGAAATCACAGGGGTAAGAATATGCAGTGTATGCCGCACAACTGTAAACTGTTTTTCATTATTTTATTTTGAGGCCAGACTTTATTGGCCAAGTGTCTCAACACTAGACGTGTCGAAGTTAAATGGACGATAGCAGATCGTTTTCCTTGAGCAGATCTTGTTTCCTAAATAACTTTTTTATAATTGTATCACCCACGACCACCTGATGCGACTGGAGTAGAAAAGGGAATAGAAAATGGTTTAGTCATGTAGAAAGGATGGATGTTAGTAAGTAAACTGCAAAAATTTACAGAGCGCAAATATATATATATATTATATATATATATATATTAGTCAATTTTCAGCTTAATCAGAGCAAGTCTTTCGGCAGCTACTTTTGACAAAAAAAAACGCTTCTAAGACAGCCGTATTAAAAAATGGCGAAAATAAACTTTTAACCCCAAATTATGGTTAAGGACCCCTAAAGACTCCTGCATACCAATTTTCAGCCGGATCGAAGCAAGTTTTTCTTCGGCCGCCATTTTGAAGTCGCCATCTTGAATTTTTTTAACCCAGGCAGTTGACCACTGTTACTCTCTATGAAATTCCTTCGACCATCTCCTTCCTACCTATCTCTAATAGTTTCCGTGATAGGAGACTTTGAAATTTGTATGGCGGCCATCTTGTTTATTTGAATTTCGAACATTATTGACCAGGGCGTACCTCATAAAAGTGCACAAATAGTCCCTCCATATGTATAGTTTGTTTTTGCAGGCCGTTGATCACTATTTCATTCAGGTCTTCTCATATTTGAGTCTTTGTTTTGGAATCTGTCCACGTACAACGGTATAAATATCTTTTTTCCACCATATCGGGAAGTATGCGTTCTATTTCTGGAGAATGTCCTTAAAAAAGGCCATATAAAAGTACCAGTATGAACAGGCATGAATGGAGAACTGACGCAAGTGGAGGAGGCGAAACAGTTTTGTCAGGACCTATTTGCTAAAGTAATCATTTTGCGGGATTTAATTTATTGGATGTTTTGATTACGTGATAGAGTTCTAAGAAATCTGTAAAATAGTTACGACAAAGTTGGGTCTCGGTTGGAGTTCATGAAATATTTTGTTCAGGACTATGCCTAGAAATAGTCAAGAGGTACACTAAAAGTCCACGAATCTACTATGTTTTCTTTCTCGAAACTCTTTCTTTTTGTTTTCGTGTATATATTAAGATTTACCGTACCATAACGAAATTGTGGATGTAGAAATGAAATTATCCTTCAAATACTGTACTGTTAATATACGATCATAATTGTCTCAACGTCGCGTTGGAGAAATCATTCAAGTGTAAACGAGGCCTAAAATGGAATGTCAAAATCTAAGCTGTGCTAAGTGGAAAAATAAATATTTCCAACGCATTAATTTTTTAAAAGTATTTTCTCTTTTATATAGTTTTTGTACCGTTTTCATCTCATTCGTCTAGCGTAGTGGATCTAAGATTTAATTTTAACATAACTACAAAAAAGTGTTGATTGTATCGTCTTGACCTAATTAAAAAGATATAAATCCAGTATTATTAGAATATATCGTCGGTGTTTTGAAGAAATGCGAAAGCACACTTTTGAAAAAAAATTCAATGGAGCCTGTTTAAGTTTTTCACGGCTGTTTTAAAATATTTACGTCGTTTTAAATTCAATTTAAACTTAAACCTAATTAAAACCAAAATTGAATTTAAAAAAACGTCGTAAATATTTTAAAACAGATGATAAAATATAACATGCTCCACTGAAAAATTTTTCCAAAAAGGCGTTTTCGCCCTTTCTGCTAAACATCGACGATATATTATTATGGTAATAATACAAATAAAAGCTTTGACGACGACGCGACGGAATATGAAAGATCTGATGAGACTACCCTCAATCGCAGATTGACGATCATCAACTTTTATTTAGCTATTTAGCTGGTCTGTACGGAACTTGTCCTTAAAATTATTAAAAGTTATTTTTTGTTATCTTGTCATTTTTTTAAAACAACGAGATTATATCTCTCAAACTTCAATTTACAAGTACAGGAGACACGTGAATTTGGAGATTTCATGTCGTTTCAATATTTACATAATTTGAGGGACAGCAACTATACTTTCTAAGACAATTCGTGATTCGTTATAAAATTCTATGAAATGTCAACATAGTAATCTACTTATCCAGCCCGAACAAGTTGTAGGAAAGTAAACATATTTAATTTTATGTTTTTTTAGCTAGCTCTCCATAATCATTACTTTAATTTTTCAATAAACTACGTGTTAGATCAAGAGTTTTTGTATTTTTAGAACTTTGCTGATGTAAGAAGCGTCAAAGTTGGTTGTTTTGAGAAGGCCATAACTTTGGATCTATAAACGCTTTTGGAATTTTTGCTTTATATGCAAGGCTAATTGCGTTATTGCATGAATAGTAGTGTAGTAGTAATTTTATTTTCATATCTTAAACTGATGCTGAGTTACAGTTACGGTAATGTGAAATTTGGTCGAATCGTATAGTGTATATACATTACACGCAGTCCGACATGCAATTAGCCAGTTTTTCTACAAAAACAAAGTTATTGTAAAGTTAAAATATCTTTCTAAAGGCCCCAGTGCACGGGCTGTCAGTCACATCACCAACTACACCTGTTGGTTGATATTTTGTCTCACTCACTCTCAGTCGTCTGACGTCATGTGATCCGTGGCCGAGATCGCTGTGTTAATTGTGCCACAGGTATATATTTGAATACCCGAAACCTCAAAACACAATATTCCTGTCAACAAGAATTTCTTCACTAACCTCAATAAGTAAGGCAAAATGATAAACACTACCACCTAAATAGATTATTTAGTAATTTATTGCCCGTATGTTTAAAAACTGCCCATGTAATTTTCACTATTTTTTTATATTAACTCTAATCGCATACTACACAAGGCCTGCATTGTTCAAATACATGTGAAAATTCTATGCGTTAAGGTGCACTTTTGATTGAAACTAAAATTCTTCAAAAGACGATGATGGGATGTAGTTATGCACATTGAAATAAACTTTATTTGCATAATTATTTTGACTATGCGGCAAGCAAGACTGGTTTAGACTTACAAATTCTTTGCTGACCTTGTGTCCATAGCTTTAACATTTTTTGTATTGCTTTGTATGTGGCTGAATGTATCTAAACTGTTGGCCCCTTTTTAGATGTATTTTGTTGTATGCATGGTAGTGAAAATGTGATACATTGGCAATATTAATATACCTAACCATACAACAGCCCTTTCATATTAAAAAAATACTAATGTAGACTACTCGCTGAGATTTCTCAAATGTCATAAGACAAATCATACAATTTTTATTCGTATAAACCTCGAGTCGATAAAAAAAATCGTAATTGTCGTTTAAGAAAACGATTATGTTAGGTAACAGTACATTTTGTCGTACTCGCAACTCGTTTGTGTGGTTCCTAAAATGGTGTCTTTACCAAATAATTATTCTAAAATGTTACGATTAATACAACAACACAATCGGTCGATTCCGTACTTGCGTACAACACTAGTGGAACTAGTCCGCCTGTCCGCATGGAACGTTCCAATATGGCGGCTTCTACTTCATAGTCACTTGGAGCATGGCTGCGTTTTAAAATATTTTTAAAACTTTTATTATCCTTGTCTTTTTTACATTTAAATGGACTTAATTTAGCATTTTGTACTTTAATTTTTTTATTTAAGATAAAACATAAGTAATGTGGTTTAAGTGAAACGTGTGCTAAAGTCAGACAATCTAGATCCTTGAGTGACCTTTTGGGTTGACTTTCTTTTTACCATATTGCTACGTTATCGTATATTAGTTAGTTCTGTAAAGCTTTAAAACAGATATTTGCGGATTTCAAAAACAGTGATATAATTTAGTTAACGGTGCCACATATTAAAGTCTGATATTCAGGTACTGTGCGAGAAAACTCCCACGTGGAAATACCTCACGTCTCTATTTATAGATTTCGAACTTGCTTCACTAAAAGTGATAGGTGAGTTTAGAAATTCTCAGTAAAGACATTATTTCTTTGTGTGAATACTTTCCAGTGTTAAATGTTTAAATTCACATTTTTATTACTTAAATACTGGATCGTTCTTTTTATTATCTGCTGGGCTATTTGGTGTTACAAATATATACAGAGGTATACGCCTGCCTAATTATGGCGTTATTTTGTACTATGGAATGATGAATAACCTCCAACAATTTGATCGTGTTTTTCTGAGTACCGATTACCTAATCAAGTTTTAATTATCAGCATAAGGTTTCTAGTTCATCGAGTTCGCGACATTGTTGTAATACGTACGTGCACATAATTTTAGAATTGAGATAGTAGCAGCTGTTTTTGAAAGATCTCTGTGTGAACTTAACAACTCTGTGTTCACGTTTATTTATGACATGCTCAATTTCATTTGCAGTGATTAGTTCAGTTGATAATTTAGTGGAAATTATCAACCTGCCAACTAGTCAAACCAGTCAAGCCACTAGTGCAGAAGCAACGAAAAAGCAAGTGACATCAAAGCAGTTGTCACCTGCTCCAGAGACTGAAATCTCTTCCGCTGTTGAGACAAAGAGTGAAGTACTGAACAACAGCGAGACACTATCTGTACCCTCTCCCACTCCACCACTGTTAGCAAGCATTGAGAAGGCAGCTGCTAAGGAACTGCACACAGTACCAGAATTAGTTGAAAGCCACGAAACTTCCAGTGCTATACAGGCACAAGCCAAACTAACTCAAAGCATAGCTAGTGTACAACGCTATAATCCTGAATCTAAGATGAAAGATATTAATCTTAATAATAAGACTACAGGTTTGAGTACTTTATATCTTTCTTGTTAAGTTAATTTATATTTGTCACGTGATTTGAAGTTGTTCGTTATTTTGTCAGATGCTGATACTGCCAATGGTAATCCTACTGATGTAACTAAAACTGAGACTGCTAAAGAAGATATCAATAAAAATGAAAAAGTTGTAAAGAATTCTAAGAATACTAGTAAAAAATCTGGAAACAAGATGGCCAATAATGAAACTAATGTAAAAGACGCAGAATCATTTGAAAATGGTAAAGATGAGACTGATAACCTTAGTAATGTAGAAGTAATGCAGGAAGAACAGTTATCTAAAAGTGAGGAGACAGTAACCAAGGCATTAGCAGCTGAGAAATCTGAGGTTCCTGTAACATCATCTGCAGTTGTTCCTAAATACAATTACAATCCTGGTCTGTATTTATTTCTTTATGATGTGCTACCTTCTCATTATAATTGCGTTTTTGATATGCTTTTGCTTATTTTTTTTTTGTATTTTGTCCAGGACAATGGTCTCCATTCAACAAAACAGGGAAGAAATGCTATGATATTGGATTACTCAAGCAAATGAAAGATGACCCACTTTCAAAGAACAAGCCGAATGTGCCATTGTTGGAAGCTTGCAATGTTATGAGGGTTTGTATAGTATTATATAAGTAGATTTTCCTTTAGTTATGTTTTTGAATTATTATTTTTAATTTAAATGTTATTTTAGACTGCGCCTATTCAAGATGCTCTGCCTTTTACGGCTATCTCCCGATCTGTGAATGACTCAATGTTTCTCCCTCCATTTGCTAAAAGTTCAGTTACTGGCTCTAGAAGTAATACTGCAAGGGATCCAAAGAAGGACGGCAGAAATATGGCAGCTGGTGGTGAGTTTTGAATTGCTTTATAGTAAATTATGTATTTACATGTTTTAAGGAAACTTGCGCTAATAAATTTACGTAAATGTTTTATTTATCCATATTATATTTCATCAGGTAAAGGAAGTGCTAAACTATCTTCACAACCTAGCAGTAGTGGTGGCCATAAACCTATTTATGTCTCTCTTTCATTGCGAGAAGAAGTTAAGTTAAATGAAACAAAGGATCCATGGAAACCTCTTAGGTTTAAAAAAGAGAATATAGGTGAAGACGATTTCAAGACTCAAGAATTAAACAAAAAGTTTAGAGGCATACTGAACAAACTGACTCCCCAGAAGTTTGATACTTTATTGGAGAAAGTAAAAACTCTCGAGATTAACAATCAAAAACGTCTGGAAGGTGTCATCGACCTTGTGTTTGAGAAGGCTATTGAAGAACCAAATTTTTCAGAAGCCTATGCTGCTATGTGCAATAAGCTCTCAATGCTCAAGGTATAATTTTATATACTTTTTCAGATTAATTGAAGATATTTTGGCAAAGCCTATTTGACCATCTTACTATTTTACAGGTTCCTGCTGACAATGCAACAAATCCAGACCAATGTGTCAATTTCAGAGCACTTATCATTAGTAAATGTCAAAACCAATTTGTGACAGATAAAGTAGATGAACAAGTCCTGAAACTTGAAAAAGAACTTGCAGATAGCACTGATCCCGTAAGTTTCTACTGATATGACATTTTTTATAAATAACTATACAAATAATATAAGACTGTCTTTAGACATTATATGTAAGTGTTCTGTGTGTATTCGACGTGAATAAATTGGTTGCAGGCAAAAAAGAAGGAGCTTCAGCTGCAATTGGAAGAAGAGAACAGAAGAGTGAGAATGAGATCAGTAGGAAATGTCAGATTTATTGGTGAGTATTTAAAAGTCAAATTTATAATTTATCTATGTATTATTTCTAATTATTTAGTAAACTAGGCTACTATGCTTTAATAGCCTAATTTACTAACCTATTTTTATACATATGATGACATATATGTAGAAGTGTTTAATAACACCTCACATCAGCGAATGTCATGATGATGTACTACACAATAAAATAATAATTACTTTGAGATAAATCTGAATGATTCATGTTGATCTAAACACGTACAATTTATAATATAATAATTTTATTTCAAATAGCTATAGTAAGGAAAACCCGCTTCTTATAAAGTCCCTGAAAACAAAAGGAAAATAATTATTTAATTTCAATAACTCTTTTGTTAATAATTTGCCAACCACACTGCATGTTCAATACAGTTCGTCTTTTTATTTTTTGCATTTGCGAAATTAAATATTGGCCATCCATATCATCATGTGCATTTGCACTGAAATAATTTACTGGTATTACTTATTACTTATTTTTATCTACCTTTATATATATTTAGGCATGTCTTTTTGCGTGCGAATTGATTAGGTTTACTGAGATGCATGCTCAAGCGACATATTGCGCAATTCTATAAGGTATTTTTATATGAATCAATGTCATACATTAAGCTATATGTGAGTTTCTCAATAGATTTTTTTTTATTGCAGGTGAACTATACAAACTGAAAATGTTGACTTCTAAAATTATGGTTTACTGTATGAACTACCTGATTGACAAATTAGAAGAAGAAAAGTTGGAGTGTCTATGCAAATTGCTTACTACCATTGGTGAACAAGTTGAAAGTGAAGTAAGAGATCCACTTGACAATGTGTTCAAGAAGATGCAGGATATTGTTGATCGCAAATCAAACAGCATCAGTTGCCGTGTCAGGTATTAACACATTTTATTATTCTACTTGAAGATACGATTTTAATTTTCTGAATGTAATGCTGTTCTAAAACAAATCTTGTTGTAGATTTATGATCCAAGATGTGATTGAGCTCCGTAGAAGAAGATGGGTGCAGAAGAGTGTGGTTGACTCACAACCTAAAATGATGGACCAAATTCAAAAAGAAGCTGAGCAGCAACAACGTCATATTGAGGTAAATTTCAACTTTTGTCTAAAACTGCAGGTCTACTCTCTTTCTTGAAAACGAAACTTTGTTAATGAACGAAATTGCTTTATTTTAAATTTTACATTTAATATGTGGTTCAGCATTTCTTGTAATATTCATGCAGAAAAAATATATAAACAAGTAAAAAAATATTTTTAACGTAATTAGCCGAGACGCTATAAAATACTCATTGTTATCCGATTTGTTTGAAGAGTACCATTTCATGCAAACTATAGGTTGCAAAAGTATGACAACCAAAAATTTCCATATATTAGAAGCTACATACTATACATTGTATTCTTTGTAAACTTATCGTACATAATATTTACGTTTTATAAATCATAATGAAAGCATTTGAAGCTATTGGCAAGATTTTTCGTAAATATTATCTCCTAAATAAGCAAAAATATAATGCAGTAAGTTGATTTTATTTAATCAACTCGCAGTCTTTGATTCCTTGGGTAGAACTTTATTTTGTACATTTTTATGTGCCGTCTGTACACATAATTCGCAAAGTCTCGGAGATGCAAACCCTCAGTAGAAATCAAATGAAAATAAAAAAGGATCCCATAATATGCGCAAACATTCAATGGGCTGTCATTGTTTTCAGTGTACAGCTCAGCAAATTTTTATAAGCGTATAACAATGATCTTATAAAACGAACAAGCAAATCGTGTAAAAACACCCTTAACGAAAACGAGAACTACGTATTCTTCCCACCGTTACTAGTATTTTCTTGTATGGGGCCATGTCTGGGAACCTGATAATTATGAAGATATTGTGATTTAAAGCCAAAATTTTACTTTCGTATTTTTTACGAAATCATTTTTTGCGAAATTTACTCTCGATCTCCGTCCGACATCCGTCCGAAACAATTACTGCCAAGTAAGCATTGACCTACCAACAAATGGACGTCGGGTCTAATACAAAAACCACGAAAAAAATGTCCGAAGTTAACCCATACAAACGAGTGACATGTAACGAAATATAAAAAACTAAAACATTTAATTTATATTGTAACGTCATTGCAGTACTGCCTAATTTTGCTTGCAACAATTTAAGGACCCAAAAACACCATATTCAGCTCCTACTGGAAATTTAACAAAACGCATAAATATGGTGCATTTTGCTTCGACTGAAAATTACTTGAACACAAGAGTAATGGAGTGGCCTTTGTCGTAAATATTAATTAATTTATATATATATTATTATGTCGAATTTTGTGCAAATTCACTTAAAGAAATAATGAAGAGTTGGGCAGATATTAACATACAAATATTACTACAAATGTGAAAGTAAGCGTGTACTATAAGAAATGTACTGATATTCCAACTAAACGTAAACCGTAATTCCGAAAACCGGTTTAGTTTAGTTTTGTAATCTTCCTAAAAAAATACATTTGACGTTTTATTTCGTTAGCTCGAATTAAACGTCATTAATAAAAAAATATTTTTTTAAATAAGATTAAAATCAAAGCGACTCTATAGTTTCTTTCTTCTAAATATTTCAATCGCTTGTGGTTTGAACAATTGAAAATGACCAAAAAGGTTTTATAAGCTTCTTCAAATTGACGTAATGGGTCTCTTTCCATCTTTTGCGCATGCAATGTGTAGAAAAAGGACAGTTAGCTATTTGATTATTTTGTGTGCTTTTGTAATTTATATTTACGATTCATTTATATATAAATTAAATGCGATAAAACTACAAAATACCATTTTTAAATGAGAAGTATGATAAGTTTAGTGACAATATTATACAAAATCCTGTTTTTACACTTTACTGTAGTAATTTTTGCAAGTTATTATTATATGGTACTGCATGATTGACAACCGCGCTGGCACTCGAACAAATGAAGACTGCTGCGCGATTGACGCTCTGTATGCGATTTTAACACCCTATAGGTGCGGACACTTTTTAGCGCGAACCCGACGTCCATTTATTAGTAAGTCAATGCAAATAAGCAATACGTGACCAAATGAAAAGACGCGTGATGCGAATGAAGCTTCATACTTGATACTTGTCTTTTAATTTTGTCGAATATTACTTATTTGACGGAGATCGAGAGTAGACCCCCCTGTTTCAAAATGTTATTAAATATTAAACTTTCTTCCAAACAAACATTATAAATTTCAAGTAAACGAGGTGTTCAAAATTTCAACGTATACCCAAGTTATGACCGACCGTACAATGAATGAATCTGCGTCGAGCAAAGAGGCGAACCTGACATTTGTAGAACTGCGTCATTTTATTCAAATTTATAAAAGAAAAAATGCCGTCGTGTGTTCTTAAATGCACTAATTACCACGTTGAAGTAAAAAACACATTGAATGACATGCGTACCACGCGTCAAAAATATTTACGTTATAGCTATATTTTATTTATATTTTTATAAATAACAGTAGCCAATTGAACATAGAGATAGTAATTTTTTCTGTAGCGAGTGCGATAAAGACTTATCATGGATTATGAGTGCAGGTACAAACATTGTAGGCAGTAACTAAGTAAGTAGTCATCGATTTGACTTATTGTATTGTAGTTGGAAACTTATTTATACAGTTTGTTACGTACGTGTTTATGTGATATAAATATAACACATTTAACAATAATTTCTTGCCTGCATATGTGTGCAAAATTACTTGCCAAAAACATCAACTAAACAAACATTTTTTTTAATGCAGGAATATTTTTGTGTTCAGATTGGAGATGAACATTTGTTTGTTACTCCAACATAAGACATACTTGTCTTTCATTGAAATTAACTCGTGAAATCTAATTTTCAGGGACGTAACTAAAGAGTTTATGCACTCTACGCATTTCGATTCGATGTTTTCCAATTTTCTTGCAATCTAACCTGAAATATAGCCCAGTATCTATTTCACATCACTCGCTAAAGTTTCAGTGTCAATCACTTCAGCAAATATACCAACATTATTTTCTGATATCTTGTCATTGATCGTTGAGATCATTCGCAGGTTGATCTTTAGAAGATTTAGTATCGAATTCATCGTCGTCAATTGGTACTCGTTTGTTAGAAGACTAATTTTATTAATGTTAATGGCGAAAGAGCAATTTAATTAATTTAATTTCAATGATAGGGTCGTTGCGACTTTTGGGGGAAGTCTATGTCCAGCAGTGGACATTTTTCGGTTGAAATTATGTAGAAGTTGAAAGCATAGCACAATAAACAAATCTACTTACTACCTTAGAACTAGCATTGTCGCAAAGTAGATGTTACATATCTTGTGTGTAATCATTGGTGCATAAGTATTTTTCAGTATTTTATTCCATTTGGCAGATGTAAATTTTGTGAACAGAATAAGTAGGACACATCAATTATTCGAACTTTTTAGATAAACTGGTTACAACTCTTTTCTTATTTAGCTAATGAATGCTGCACCACCTGGCGGTTTCCGTCGCGATGAAGGGAGTCGCGGCAAACGTGGTGACAGTCGCAGGCAGAATGCTAACACGTTCATGGAAAACAACTGGAAATCTACGAGGACAAATTATACCGTAGACACATCTAAGCTTAAAGCAGCAGTTACGCAAAAGGTAACAAAATCTATTGTGATACAATTAAGTTTAATCTTATCTAACGCAGACATTATTCTAATATATTATTTTATACGGTATAATTTATTGTTCATGGCATTCCTAAACTGAAAACAATAGAATACAAAGTCACTGATAAATATTGTGTATCAAATGCTATTAATTTATTAAACTGTGTAGGTATTTAATTTAACTTGATTGAACTTATAAAGATTGAAGTAGAATTCTGAAATCTCAATATGATCCTGAAATCACAGCATGGATTTTTGGAAACTTTCAATTCACAGATGATGACATGTTAGCACTTTAGTTGGTTAAACAGAGTTTATCAATATTAATTCTAGAGGAATGTTACATTTACACGTCTGTGTCAAATCTGAAGGCTTCTCAATTTTCACCTGACGATCTTGGGCGAACCTTACTCAGCTACTTAATTTAAATTACTGGTCGCTGTCATGCGCTTTGACTTGCAATTCTGTGAGGTATAAAACACCAATTAATCTGTCATATCGATTGTGATACACTTTAATAATATTTATATTACTTTCACTCGGATTTAATTTTAATCCTCATGTAGGTGAACACTGGAATTTGGTTGCAAAATTTCATACTCACTAAAATGGTGTATACTTTCCACCCAACGTGACACGAATCATTTTAATGCAGAAGGTGCGCCGAAGATCCACATAAAATGAACCTACTATGTTTGTCATATCTACCTTGATACCTTATGATGACAATTGACAATTTTAAAATTTTTATGTCTTGCAAGACATATACTTACCTAAAAGTTTTGTTTCAGAATCAGAATCTTAATAATATCAAGTTAGCACCAACGAATACTGCTTGGAACCAGGGTTCGGGCACAAAGAACACTGGTCAAACGGGAAGTAATTCTATGATTAGTCTTACTAAAAATATGTACAGTGTCCTAGAAAATGTACACACTGATCCTTCAACACTTAGAGGTAAATAAAAACGATTATGATAATCTCTAAACTTGCTGCCTTTATCGCTTACTCATGAACTATCTTTAATTAATATTTTAGGAAGCAAAGATATGTCGCCTAGCTACTCTAAGGGTGCTTCAATTGAACGATCGACCTTCAACTCTAGGGGAGATTTCAGTAAGTTACAATATGTACATAATTTGCTATTTGACGCAAGTTGTTTGTGCTTTGTTTTATTTGTCTCTTCGATAGTAATGAAGAAGATTAATATGCTATTAAAGTTTTTAATGTGTGAAAATACTACAATGTAATTAACCTGCAATATTACGTAGTAAAATGTCTATTCGTTTGTTTGATTTATAAAGTAACATAATTTGTATCATAAAATGTCCACATTTTGCGTTGTTATCTTTTGACCTTGTGTGGTGTCTTCGATACGTTCAAAGAGATTATTATTACAATTGGCAAAGATTGTAATTAATTCAAATAACTTTGGTTTAAATGAAGATGATAACTTTGCGGCAGATAGCGGTAGTGGCAGCAGATCTGGTTCGATGGGCGTAGCTCGGTCGAATTCTAGCAGTAGAAGTACGAGCGCGGCGCCGCCTTCACCTGCACCTACTGCCGATACCCCGACCCTAATCCCGGCTCCTGTCAAGCAAGAACAGCTACCTGATAACAAGAAGAAGTCCGTCAAGGCCTTGATCGATATGCTACTTATAAATCATGATGACAATGATATGGCGGCAGATGTGAAAGAGCTCTTCGCGCCTCAATATCACGCTGATATGGTTACAGAAATACTTAATGTGGCATTAGAAAAGTAAGAATGTGCACTTATTTAATTATTGTATAATATTTGCGGCAAGTACTTAAAGACTTCCGCGTGTTTTGCAGGCCAGCAAAGGAGGTTGCGATGATAGCAAAATCATTATTGCATTTAGTGTCAACAAATACGATTGCTGCAGAAAACTTTTTAGCAGGAATGAAAGAGATATTGGAATTAGCTCCTGATCTTCACATTGATATACCAATGTTGTATGATTACTTAGGAAAGTTCCTTGCGCCACAAATTGAAAAGAAGGTACGTCAAAATGTTGTTTTTGTGTATATACAGGTAACCTACAAATTATTATTGTTTGGGATAGTGACGATTATTGTTGTTAAAACGCAGATTCATTTTATAAACTTTATATTGTCTAAAACGTTGAAATGATTTGTCAAATGTTAACGTTTTGGGTGCACCCAATCTATACGAATTTTCGTAAAGCACTAAAATACTGGTGGTTGGTAGAGCGTGTCGCTAACCGCTTACATCAAAGGTTTTCTTCTGTTTATATTGCGAAGCCTTGACAAACAATTTCTCTTGCCCATGAACCTTATACTAATAGTTTTTCCGTTTCAGCATATCACATTTGTACAGTTACTTAGGCTTTCTCAAATGATTATTTCAAATAATCAAGGACACTTGTTTTTGAAGTCGATTGTTAAAGATTTAAAAGAAAGCATGGGACCTTCATTTGTAAAAAGCAAATGGCAAGAGTCTGGTCTTCAGTTAAAGGAATGGATGAATGAAGATCAGGTAACATGAAGATCAGATTTTTATGATTATAAAAAAATTTGTGATGATGAAGTGATGATAATAAAGAATGCAATCGTTTTTTACCTGCAAGTAATGTCTCAAAGCTTTGTTATTTTAAAACAAAATCTTTTACAGGTGGAGAAGTGGTTAATAGATAATAAATTTGAATTCTTGGAGGGTAGTGCTAATGTTTGTGAAGAAACTAAAAAGATATTAACTCCTGCAGAAACACAAAGTAAATTACTTCAATTGATGAATTCAGACGAAACCTGTGATTGTATAAAGGGATGGGTGCAGGTATGTCCAAAGGATATATATTATATATAAATATAATCTTTATTTTTTATGCTAGATAAGTAATAATAATATGTTGACTGTACTTCATTGCTGATTGTTTCAGGATAACCTCGGCAAATCTTCAAACGAAGACTGGTTCATGCGAGCAATGATACAGGCAATATGCGAGCATGCTCTTTTCGGCCCCGAAGGCCGTGACGTGCCTCATTTTAACCAAGATCGCATGAACAAGTATTCTCGGCTCATCAACGAGTTTGGAGAGTCTCAGCAGTCCAGGGAAGCCAGTTGTCTATTCGGTATACAGCAATTGATACACAGGCTAGAGCACCCACAAGGTAAAACATATTCTTTAATAACAGTTCACATTCATTTTCTCATAATGAATGCAAAGATTTAGATGATAATATCTTTTTTTTTTTCAGGTCTTTCCTTAGAAATATTCCAATATCTACATGAACAGTATATAATATCTCCAGAAGGATTTATATCTTGGGAAGAATCAGAGTTGGAACCAGAAGGCAAAGGTAAGATGCAAACATAGCGTTCTGGACACTCATTTGAAACATGAACATAGTTCAGTGAGTGTCTAAGAGTTTTTTTCCCAAAGGTGTAATGATGAAGGCGCTTACGTCGTTCTTCACCAACATCAAAGAAGCGGATAACGAGGACTCATGTAGCGAGGACTGACGCGCGCAGATAGCTG